TTTGCTAAGATAGTCTTTGCACCAATTAAGCAGCTAGCCCCTCACACTGCAGTCATCCAGTCTCTCGATGAGCTCATTGTGTCTAATCGTATCAAATGCTTTACTATAGTCTGCAAGTACAATAAGTACTTGTTTATCATCGTTGAGGTATCCATTAACTATATCATTAAAGGCAGATAGTAGCTGTATCGTGGATTTATGCCGATAAAAGCCGTATTGTTTCTTACTCGGTATATTGTTGACTTCGAAATTGTCAAGGATAGTGTTCCTGGCTACTGAAAAGAAGAAGTAGTTTTTTGGAAATCTTTAATATTTAAATCTATCAACCAATGTAGCTTTTGTTCTGTATTATATACTACTACGTCACTCATACGTCTTAGTTTTTTTTTTATTTGGTATTCAAAAGTCTCTTAATAAGAGCTTCTACTCGAAAACGCACGTTCTAACAGACATGTGTGTTTAGTTGATTTGAAATATATTTTTCTATTATTTTAATGAATAGTCGATAGAATAGTGATCGGTCTGTAATTGACATAGTTAATTTTGCTACCTTTTTTGAAAATGGGCCTAACAATTCCTAGTGTTAGTTCATCAGGATACTTTCCTGTCAGAACACAGGTGTTTATAAGTCTAATTCTATCGCTAACTAACCTAATATCCAATGCTTTATTTTTATTCAATGAGTTTATAAATTTCTATATCCCGTTTGCATTTGATTTTTTTTAAAGTATCGAGACGTTAGCTGGATTACAGTATTGACTTTTAACTAATATGTTTCTTACTTAATATTGTTGAAAGTTTTGGCAAACTGATTGGCTAATCTTTACAGGTTTTATATTATTTCCAAATACGTCTAATAAATACTTTGTCTACTGACGACCTCATTCTACCTGTTAATTTATTTAACAAATTCCATAAGTTTGTAGGGTTATGTCTATTTTTATCAATTTCTTTAATTGTGGCCTTACTGCGCTTCAGTCGGTAAAATTCATAGTGAACACATAAATATAAATGAGGTCTATTTCATCCTAAGTCTAAAAAGTAGGTATCTAAATAAATATTTAAAAAAAAATCATTTATGTCCGAATCATCTTTCTAAGCGTCACACACTTTAAAAAAAAATAAATTTAAAGAAATAAAACAACTTTATTAATTAATTAATTAAATATTGCTTTATTATTTATAATTATTAAAATTAATTTATCATTACTTAGTTTTCATGTAAAAGTAGACAAGTCCGCTATATCCATTATGTGCTTACCTATAGCGTAGCTACATTAATTTGAGGATAAAATTTGTATTAAAGGTTTTACAGATGTTAATTGGGTGTTATATCATATCTGAAAGGAAAGGAAAATAAATTACTGTCTATAATATACTTATAAAACTTTGTAAGTCCGTCCGTATCAGGCGTTAGGTATAATATAGTCGACTGTGGTTTTAGGGAGTCAATCAACCAGGAACTTTCATGTGTCCATGTTTACATTGAACTGATGTAGATTGTTCAAAAAATATACATAAGTAACAAAAAACACATAGAAAAATTCGTAACACCCGCTCTGGTTCGTTCCATGGTTTAGTTGGTATAGCGTCTGGCACGGTATGCTAGAAGTCGTCGGTTCGAATCCGACCGAATCGAAGGAACTTTTTTTGGGTGTACGATCTTTGTATTAATAATTATAACAAACTAGTGGAGTAATTCAACATAAATTATAATTGAACATCGAGTCAATAAAAATTTAGATACTAGAGCATTTTCACAATGTAATAATAATAAGAATAACGCACACACTCAACGTAGCCGCGTACTAGGGAAACCCTGTGTCGCGAGTGCCATGGACACACACATAGACAACCACAAATTACACCCAAACTCACGAGAGAAATAAATGTAGGCCCTACAAATATTTCTCCCGGCCCGGAAGTCGAGTCTGGGACCTCTGCGTGGCAGTCCAGCATGGTGACCGTTCGGCCACTGAGGTAGTTATGTATGTGTATGTCCAAGTTAATTTATATTTTTTTTTAAATATGCTGTAATTAAAACGTGTGTTTTTTTTGCATTTGCGCTGTGCAATGAACTAATTGGTAAGTAAATAAACAATTCATTTGTTATACATCTTAAAATTTTTATATTTGGATTTGGTACATTTATAAAATAATAAAAAATATTATTTAAAAAATGCTCACAGTGTCAATTGTAACAGTGGGTGAATTGTAACGTCACAATTGCCTCCAGAATACGTGTTACAACTGCACCAGCGGACGAATTAGAGAAGAACATTAATTATATTCAAAATTACTGTAAAATACATACACACAGTTATATTACAATCTTTGATCATTCAGAAACCTAGTTATCATCTTACACATATAAGTTCTTCGTTAAAATTCCAATAATTTGTATTTAAAAATCTATATATTCTTACTTTGAAGACACGGAAATACAAAACGACCTATAACAGTCGATCACACCACGCGCTTCCGCCGGCGCTCGACTAAATTACAAGACGAAACTATTCATTGCCCTTGATCCAACTGCGTAGTCCAACTAGTTGAACCCAGAGCATAGTTTTTAGTCCACGGTTCTACCAGTAGGACTACGGGCAATATTGTATGGGCATTGGAACTATAATAATAATTTTATTCATCAGCATAGATAGAAAAATACATAATAATATTGGCACAGTTTTGATGTTATATAATTTTTAAAAGTTTATCTATGATGCACTATTTGGTATACGAATATTTCAAACATGTATAATTATCGACATTGACAGTACAAAATAACCAAAAAAATAATAATCATTTCAAGTATTTCATATGTACAATATTGTTAGTACTATGTACGAATGTCAAATTTAATTATTAATGTCCATACTAGTTAATAAGATTGAAACAAATTAATTAATTCAAAAACTACTTTAATTACAAATGTCAATCCGCAACGTAGGCTTCGTCAAGTGCATAAGATTAAGTTATAATGTTGTTCAAGAAATCGTTGATGTAATAGTAACATTTATCTATTAATACATTACTCAACACATTTTGGAACTTACGCGTCTCAAGCGATTTTATACGATGTGGAATTTTATTATATATATGACCGGTGCAAGTTGAACAACACTCTTTCTAAGTAGAGCTGTTTTGCAGATCTTTGTGCACAATACCTGTGGCCTTGGACGTAAGTTACGATTTTGCTACCGTGGATCTAATTGTGAAGAAATTTGGGTTAATTTTGACAAATTTAGAGATTTCTAGTACATACAGGCAAGGAAAAGTCCTTAGAGACTTTAAAAAAAAGGACGACAGCTTTCCGAATATTTTAGTCCACAGATTGCTCGTATACATCGTTTTTGAGCTTTAAAAATTGTAGTTCTGTAGCTAGAGTTGCCCCAAAATATGATTCCGTATCTTATAGTTGACTCTACGAAACCATGATACGCCTTAATAATCGTTTGCCGATCCACCGTTTTTGATAATTTATACAAAGCGTAAGAGAATTGGTAGAGTTCTACTGCGAGAGACCTACTGATCGGTTAGTACAGTCACCGTCTATATTAATAATGTTACTGGTTCTGAGCTAACTACAATTGTTATCTAGGATGTCCCTGTAACAGTTCATATAAAATCGCAAAATATAATCTTGTAATTACGTGCACGGTTTAATATATTTTAGTCTAGGGTGATATAAGACTATTAATTCTAAATATTCCAGTTACCAGGGCCACATATCAACCTCGCCTGCACGCGGTGCACCCAACTCGCCGAATCAAGGAAACGTGTCTGAAGAATAAGTACAAGCACACACGCGTAAAAACGACTGACTGTTTTCGAAATATAGACAATGTTTCAATTGCCCCCTGTTACTTTTGCCTCCGGTCTACCCTAAACGATTGCTTACGTTTCATTCCTAAGCCTCTTCCGTTGTTATCGATGAATTGAAGCCTAAATGAGTCTTCTTCCATTCTTCCTCAGTATTATCAGTGAATTCATCGATATCAAAAATAGCACTGTCGTCATTTTTGTTTAACTCATTAATTGTTTCCACATTTTTCTTGAACGCTTCAAAGTGAACCTTTTTATCTTCGTCGTCTTTGTAGGTCTTTTTGTGGTCTTCAATGAACAATTCGAAGAGCTCCTCGATCCTGCTCATATCGAAGACTATATCTTTTTTACATAATACGACAACTGTTCCAATTAGCAAAATTAAAATAAGAGACTTCATCGCGCTAGGTATGGAGTACGATTGGTATGCGGGTTTGAAATTGTTCGTTATTTATAATAAAATTTATCACATAAAAAATTAATATGCAGTGTTTGTTGGTGTGTTATTGTTAAAATATATACGTACGTACCATTACGAACCATGAACCTCCACTTGCTACGTTTCTGACAAACTTTTCATCTTTTTGCATATTCGTTTATAATCGGTCAAGACATGATTAAGATAATTATGTAGGTCAAGGTCTACGTCTCTTAGTTTCCGTCTACATTTGTTCTGTAAAATTGTAATGTCAATCTACTAACATCTGTCCTAGGTACGTTAGTTAGAAACAAATGCAACCTCAAACAAGGTGCTTTAATATTGATTTGTGAATCAAATAGAATAAGGAAGCTGATTTCGGAGGGGGGGGGGGGGCGAGCGGCTCATTATAGCTCCAGAAAATCAACAAAGCTACGAGATGTCCGATATCTTACCTATGTAGTCAAAGACTTAGGTAAAAACTAGTGTATCTAATATAATTTTATGATAGATTTATACTTACATGATTTATGAGCCATAACAATAAATCAATTCGCCACACGATAATTACAAGCTTATTAATTTTGTAGGTAATTTGAAGATTGGCCATCCTTACATGGTCTCCTAGAGAAGAGAGCTGGTCTCATCAATAAGGTACTACTTCTACTACTTCTGCTTTACGCATACAATCCCTTCCCCGTGAACTCCACCAAATCATCTATCCGACTTACCCGTTTTATCCATAGCACGTAAACTCCCCCGGGCACTCCATGGAAAAATTAAGAACAGTAAGGAAGGAGGAAGAAGAAAAGTAAGAGAAAAATTAACTGCGTTTTTTAGTGATTTATTTCAAATTTTGTGATTTATTTTATTATACGATGTAATAATAAGCAGTTATTTATACGTGAACATTAATAATAATTTATTTATTTTACAATACATATGATTAAAATGCAGATGTTTTTTATATTGTTTATTTACGCTTTTTTGGCATATGGATAGACAGAAGCATCAGCCTTTGGCTTGCAATGGTTCTGACACACACCGTTCGCATTTTCGACGTTCATAATGTAACTAAAAACAATAAACGTTAAAAATAATTGAAAATATGTCATGTAAATAATTATACTGTTGTCAGTGAATCTATTAATAATTGAAACGAACATGATTATTTTCTAGAATGTTGCCGCAAACAGCAGCACCTTTTGTAAACGTTAACATTACGTCTAATAAATACTCTTTCATAAAATGAAATAATATTGAAAAAATCACGAATTTGAAAGTTTTCTTTAAGACTGCTTGAATACGTGTCATGTTGTGACAATTAATCTATTACAATTTTATATTGATTGTTACATACCTGTAATCTATTTTGTGGAATTAGTAAAAATAAAAACGAAACAAATGGAAAAGTTACAAATTATTTCATTCGAAAATTGAACTAAGGTAACCTAATAAAATAGGCTCTAATAAAATAATCTGTCGACTTGAAAATGGCACGGTACACGAACGCGGTTTCTTAAATGCAGTTTGAATGCAAAATATCATTCTTTATCAATTCAGCAGACTAATGGCATTGAAATGTTTAAAATGTATTATTATGACCAGCCTTTTACTCACTTCTTCCTATAGAGCGGCACCACACCAAGCGTCCATATTTTGGTCGTGATGGACAGGACTCACCAAAACTTTCGTTGCTCCAAACCTCCTAACTTGAAGTAGATTTAACAAATCGTCATGTGCACCATGGAGAAAATGCTACGAAGATGCATTAGTGATAGATGATCGCACGCCATTCCCATGGTACACAAATCTTCTATTTTTAGAAACAAGTGCAATTTTACATACATACATACAGTACCACAGGAGGAGTAGGTAGAGAACACGGAACGCCACTTTACTCTATCCTGACACAACACTCGAGCCAGAAATACATCAACGACCCTTTTTATATAACTTTTATTTTTGTCACTTCGGGTCCCAGCCTTTTTGAGGACATCACTGATCTGGTCAATGTAAGTCCTTCTGAGACGTCCTCTTAAAAGCCTTCCATCCACATTCGCATCATAAATCTGTTTGGTAATTCTTCTTACACCCATCCGCTCCACATGCCCAAACCACCTTAAGATTTCTTTCTCTATTCTAGTAGCTACATCCTCTATCAAGTCACATCTTTCAGGTATTATTGTATTCTTCACTTTATCTCTCAACTTTATTAAACAAATTTTTCTCAAAGATCTCATCTCCACTGCATTAATTTGCATGCAATTTTTAATACATGTAATTATTATTTAATTGTTTAACACAATTTACCACTCTTAGAGATGGAATATTTTTTAGACCAAAAAAAGAATCCTCAAAATTGGTTCACTATTGTCGACGTAATCGCGTAATACACCTACACTCTAAAAAATACTGTCGAGTACCTTCTCCTTTCTAGAAGTCGATTTAATATACAAAAAAACTTCCTTGAAATTTAGATAATGTATTTTACTATTTCCGATCTATGATAATCAATTTAGTACGATAGGTGATAATGATTCATGATAATTGTAACTTTTTCATTGAAAAAAAAATGCCGAACTCAACAGTTTGCTCGACTTTTTTCGATTTCCATGGTATACCCTCTCAGAGTCTGACTTCTTGGTGACAATGGGACTGTTACGGACTCCTTTATACATTTTATACTTTTTTTTTCCTATAGTTATCATGGTATGGTGTCAAGTGAAAACTCGCTTTTTATTTTCGGAAAATAATAAATTAGTAATTTGTGATAGCCGAAACGAACCCGGAACAACTTCGTCGGCGTCAGGAACCACCTCGTTAGCATTACTCATTCAAACACAAAATAATTTTCAAAATCGATTCACAATTGATTGGGAAATCGGTGAGTACACTTCCATGCCTATAAAATTTGAGGAATTTCCTCGATTTCCATGGGATCCCCTCATCAGATTCTGACTTGGTGACAATGAGACTACCACGAGAGTGCAAGTGCAAGGTCACACAAAAAAAAAAATCAAAATCGGTCCCCAATTGACGGAGAAATCCGAAAATATACATGCAGCGGAACGTATAACCTTCTCCTTTTTTTTAAAGTCGGCTAAAACGTAGTTCTGACGACTTGATGACTTTTTAGGTTTTTGTTATCTTAATAAACTTATATCCGCACGAAATGTACTCATGTCAGTTCTTAATATTATACAAACAAGCAAAATATTTTTTAACTTGACTAAGAGATTGTTTACGTGTAACATTTAAAGTAATCCGTAAGTGTTGTATGCGTTACACTCGGATTACAAAACAATTTGTAATCTGAGGCATTACATATAACGAAGTGATAAGGTAAAGTAAGCCACAAGTGTCAAAAGTAACAAATGTTATGCAAGAAATGCCAGTGTAAACAGTTCTCGGAGAGCGCTTAGCGACAAAGGTCATTGTCTTCTTTTCGATCTTAACTCGTCATACAAGTTTTTAACACTTTTAAAAGTTTTATAAATGCATAAAAATCAAAATACTTACCTAATAATTCTGGTGCACTAAAATCTCGGCGGGAAAAAAGCTTGCGATAAAACTGCACTTTATTCAGTCTCGTTTATAAGATTAAAAATATAATGTTATTGTAAAGAAAAATTTGATTTGCTTTTTAAAACTGTTCGTTTTTTTTTTGTAGTATTCACTTTCACTATTAAATATCTTTATTTAATTTCAATTTGAGTTTAATTCATGAAATTAACACAGTTGATTAAATTACCGTATAAAATTAAAGTTCGATAACGCAACAAAGCGCACTCTTCCCTGCGGAACGCGCTTACTCAACTAGTTTGGTTGGATGATTTTCTCCCGGACTGCATTTTACTTGCAAGAAAGAGATAACTTATACTGAATACAGTAAGTGTAAAAGGGACAAGCATAATTTGTCGTTTTTGTTTTATTTCCCGGGAGCGTGGTAATGATTCATTGATGAACGGGAATGGCATTGGCGGTGAAATTAATATTCCGATTGTATAGCCGGTGTGTGATTGTACACCATTGACAATGCTTTTTAAGTCCATGTTTTAGAGTATATTGTGCATTGTTTAAATTGTATTTAAGTATGAATTTAAAATATGACTATCGAAATTTACGTCCCCTGTATTATTCATACGTCTGAATTACGGCGGTGATTTGCATGTTACTTTATTTACTGAACGATGTCACAGTTTATTGAACTGACACATAGATATTCGTAATTGTATTATAGTCATTGACCTGGTAGGGCAATCATTATGGTTATGGTTTTCGTATATTTCGAATTGTTAGAATTAAATTTATACCCAAGTTCTTCTTCTTTTAAATGTTATGGGCAAATCGAAATAATCGATAATTTCGCCAATATCAAGTAAAAATTACTACATACGGTAGTTTTACAAAAATTGTGACGAACGACGCCATTAGCAAGGCCGGCACAAAGTCCTCAAAATATTTTTCAAAAATGGCGGGAAACTGGACGGTAATACCTCGCATTTTTTTTTTTAATTTATTAAGGCTTTGGCAAAGCCATCAGCCTAAACATGAAGTTTAATTATGTCTCTGTAAATATGGCCGCCACAAAGAGGATAGGCAATTTGAGGCGGCGTGCTTGGATTGACTCGGGATTCCTTAAAACGGGCCGATACGGGTATTTTAGTTCGAGATTCGTATAATTTCGCGTTTTAATCTTCGATTAAGGCACAATAGCACTATCCTATTCCACTTTAAACTAGATTTCACAAAATAAGTGAAAGTCAAAATAAAAACTACACTTTTCCCTCCAAAAGGTCCAGAGCGAATCCTAATACCTTGCACCTTCCTTGCACTATATTTGCTTCAGTTGTAATTACACTCACATTCGAAAAAAAATAATTTTGTATAGTATTTTCTCTATTTCACAAATTGCTTACACTAAAAATCAATCAATATAACCGCATAAAATTGGTCCACGCGATTTTGACACATAACCTCTTCGCACCATCTGTTTATCTGTTGTTTTGTCGAGTTAAAAATAGTAAAGTAACTGAAAATGAGTGAAGAAGTGGTGGATAATAATCCTTTAAAAAAGAGGCAAAGGAAGAAACGCAAAAATTTTATAGCCAATGCTAAAAAGTATGCCAAAAAAGGTCAAATGGGGCGTGGGACAAAGATGACCGATGATTTGTATCAATATTTTGTTGGGATTCTTGATGCTATCAAGCAAGGCATTCATGATGAAGAAGAGAGACGTAAGTAACATATTTTTCTGATGTAAACTTCAAATTTGATTTGTAAACTGCGAGAATTCGGAATAAATTGTGGAATAACGGTTAATCAGTCTTGATGTGAATCAGAATCTAAATTATATATATCATAATGTAAAATATGAGATTTTGTATTGAACTTTGTTCAAACAAAGTAATATTTATTTTTTATTTACTTGCTTACATTTTTTCTTATTTCAAAATTGTCACATTCTCTAAACTCAGTTGTAAGGCAGATTCCCTTGAGAAAAATGCTGAGAGTTTAGGGGTTGTAAATAATATGTAATAATAAATAATATTCTCACAAAGCAAATACTGTATTGTAAGCTGCTATCTGTTTGTGAAAGTAGTAAAATGTTGTTTCTTGATAAATGACATTTGCTTATATTTGGTAGAGGAGTGTAGTTTTTGTAATGTACATTATACATATTATTATTAGGGTGGCATCATACTATAGGGGCCTATGCCCCTAATCACTACAACCATTAATTGATCTACTTGGTACTTGGTGCAACAGGCTGGTGTCCGCAACTCAACGACAGAACACCTATTTTGCATGTGGTGGGTGCAGGGTCCTACTTGTGCCACCCAAGCTCCTTCAGGAATCTCAGCAACCTCCTTGGTTTGTTGAAGATTTCGTGGAGCAACATCGGCATTCCAAATCTATTGATCTATTGTGATCACCACTAATTACAGTTTGGATCCAAGGCCAGCAGCATAATGGAAGGTCATCTGTGGCTTCGACAGTTTTTATGTCCTCTGGTTGTAGCCTATGCCTTCCTTAACTAGTACGCCTATCATACATAGGACCAAAAGTTGGTGTACCAATAGTAAATTGCATATGTGAAACACGTTGAAAATTTTCATGCCTCAATTTGAAGTTTCCACTCATATGGGTTATTATTGTATGGACGCTCCAGAATTATTGCATGTATTTGTTCCTTCCAATATTTATAAGCTATGTAATAGTCAATTTCTGATATACCCATTTTTAATAAATTTTCAGAAGCCCTTGTAAACAATGTACTAGACCGGACAAAAGGTGAAGAACTCAACGTAGTGGGCAATCAACTCGGTTGTCGTGTAATAGAGTTGTTACTCCCGTACTCTTCAAAGGAGGACCTTGAACGGTTTATTGAAGTCGTATCACCAGAACTACGTAGATTATGCTCTGACAACTTCACAAGCCATGTTATCGAGACTTTGTTACGAGTGTCGTGCCAGAGGGCTACAGACCATTTACAAACCGAAGAAGAAGTACCTCCAAAGAAACGTAAAGTTGATTCAACATACACTGATGATCACATTCAAAAATGCCATGAATTTACAATAAAACTTTGCAAGTACGCTCTTAACAACTTAGAAGATTTCGTATGGGATCCTTATGCAAATCATATTTTACGTAGTGCAATTAAATGCCTTAGTGGTATTACATTGCTACCAGGGGAAAAGCCAAAAGTGAACCTTTTCAAACAAATTGTTCAAGACAAAGGAATACCTCCTCATCTAACTAAGTTAGATTACAAAACGGTGCCAGAGGAATTTAAAGAAATCGTCAAAGAATTTGCTGTAAGATTATCATTGTGGCCACAGTTTAAGGATTTACCATATCAGAATATAACATCAGCATTGCTACAAGTTTTACTTTATGCTGTTAAGAATGTAGATAAAAATTTGACTAAAGAGTTATTAAAGAAATTGTTGAATGAAAGTTTTGCTCCGGATGATTGGGTTTCCGCGGGGAATGACGAGAAAGATGATAAGAAAGAAACCGATGGTGACGAGGGTGGTGTGGAAGAAAGAGATGGAGATGTTGTGAAGAAGAATCTGCCACCAGTTTTTGAGTCAGAGTCTGCAGTTAGGTTTGTATCACTTTTACTCGATTCTTATACATAGACAAATCTGACACAGATTGCAGAATTACACCAACAAATTTTTTCTACTTACAAATACATAAACAGCCATACACACATCATACACAGCACAATTCCCGACCATTATAAATAGTAACGTAAAATATTGTTACGTTAACGTACAAGTTTCATAATGAATAAATGAAAACTATATTCAAATATCAAAGCCGTCTTCGCGCGAAAACGGCTCGCCGGCAGCCTTGTTGTCGTTCAGTCAATGTGACCGGCAATGTGCGGGGCGTGATGCGGTGTCTAAAACTAGGGAGGGGCGGAGAGTGTCCGTTCTGTTATTCTTTATTCTCTGCCTGAGATATAAGTTAAGAAGTCCCATGTGTCTGTAATTTCATCAGCATCCATGGCCTTCAAACCGCAATAATGCTCACAGTACTGTTGGCGGCAGAAATAGATAAAGTGGCAGTATTTCCCTGGGTGAACTCTTTCACAGGGAGTTCTACTGCTGTTAAAATGTGTAAATATAAATGCGCTTAACACAGAAACTTAAATGTCCTACCTTTGTAACACTTCAAAAATCAAAATTTACAGGCTCCTGGAGGCGGCGTTGTTCGTAGCAAAGAAGAAGATGTACACACAGATCTATGCAAGATGCTTTATCAATCGGCTGGGCCAACTGTCCACATTGCCGATGCTCAACTTCACCGTCCAGAGGCTGATTGACAACTGCCAAATTAAGGAAGAGGTGATGTATAGTTTGTTACAGCATATTTATTTTTATTTTTTAAATTGCACGAAATATTTTTAAGCATGAAAATAGCTTCCAAATAAAAATTTATTGAATGTGGGTTTGTGGATTGTTTTTTAGTAGCAGTAGACCTCCTTGTGAAAGAATTCGTCGAGAGAAGTACTGCCACCTTGCCTATGTCTGCCGCCAAGCAGTAACGTGAGCATTACTGCGTCCCGTTGAGAATGGTTAGGGTGCTGGTGAAATTACAGGTATATGGGACTTGTCAATTTATATCACAAAGTATCGGTTGCTGTTGCAGTGCCCTCAGGCCTTTGTGATTTAAATCTCTGAGTGGTATTGCAACTGTTATGGACAGGCGTGTCGCTTGCCACCAGGCGCACGAATTGTTCTTCCCGTTACGTAGTATTATAAAAAAAACAATCGTAAATACGTTGATGATAATGATGATGGATGTTCGTTTCAGTTCGAGCCAATGTTCGACGAGTTGTCAGACAAGTACAGCGCAGTACTCGCATGTGGCAACACCGGGGTACTAGTGGCCATAGCGAAGGCCTGCCTCAGGATCAAGGCCAAGCAGACGCAGTTCGTTAACGTAAGTCAGATTTCTCACGAAAGAAAAATCGATTAATCAGAAGCGCTGTCGCCAAAGTAACACTATCATAATGTTAAACACTATGAAATCTTGATGATTGGTCGTAGTTTCTAATTTCATCAATATTCTGCCATCTAGCGGCAACAGCTGAAAGGCGACGAACGATTAACACCTATTTAAAGTAGATACTACCTCGGCTCGAATTCATATTTTTCCCGTACTAATAAGGTTCATTTTGCTTGGGTCGAGGGGCGGAGACACTGACTTTACTTCAGAATTATTTTTTTACAAACAAAATTAAGACCGTTTGAAAAATATATATCGCATACTCTACATGATCTATTTAATTCAGTTGATATTTAAAAAAAATTAAGTACCTTTTTTTTATAACATCTAGATGTTACCACCACCAGTTGCAGTGCCACTTAGAGCTTTAAATTGCAAAGATCTGAGGGGCACTACCACTGCGCCCGTCATTCACCCTGAGACATAAGTTGCCAAGTCATGTCAGTCAGTCCCATGTGCCTGCAATTTCACCGGCAACCTTACCCTCCAAAACCGGAACACTGTAATGCTGACATTACTGCTTGGCGGCAGAAATAGGTAAGGCAGTACTACCATGGACGAACTCTTTCACAAGACGCTCAACTGCTAATAAAACCTATTGAATACAACGGTTTTGTAAAATTGCGAGGTCCGCTTTTTTTTTTCTTTCATGAAATTTTTCAGGAATTGTGTTTTCACACCGTATATTAATCAGTTTATATCCTCAATTTTACTATATATTTGTTCCAAAGAAATTGATTCAACACTTTCACTGTTATGCGTAATCAACAAAAGCCGTTTGAGGTTGTATAGACTCTTAATCGTTCGTTCTCTAAAAATAGTCATGATGCGGCGGTTTACTTGGTCTTTAGGTAAGGAAAGGGATTTACTTTTGTTTCTTATAACAAAGAATCTATCACGATAAACAGGAAATGGAAAATTTATTAACGATAATTTTAACCAACCACAACAAATTAGCATAATAATAATAATTTGGCGTGAGATAATTGTCACGACCATAAGGTACAAAACGAAAAGGGCGCGGCTCAAGTATGCGGAACTCCGCGAACTGTTGGCACACGTACTATGCCTACCAACCTCCTTATAAATCCCGGTGAAACCAAATTGGTAAATGATCTTGAAATGAACTTGGAATTATTTCTGGTGTTCAGGATGGCGCCCCGGAGTGAATTCCATCGCTCCGGTATTCATAGTTTGAGACCAGGTAAAAGGTATTCTGGCACATTATTTAGAGTCGACGTTTCAGTTCTTTAAAATGAATAGTGTTGCAACAGACCTATGCTTCTGCAAGTGCGGAAGTTCCGCACGCTTATTCACATCTGTTTCCATTTGTGCTTCCGGAACTTTTATCGGAAGTTTATAACGTTCGCGATGAATCAGGTGCGTGCGCGGCTTAGCGGGTTTGTATTAAGTGTGTAATTATAATAATAAGCATTTATTTCTGACCTGAATTTATATAATAATTATAATAGACTTATAAACTATGTTAGTAATGTAGATTAATTACTTTATATTATATTTTTTTATTTATATTTACATTTATTTGGCACCCCAATTAGAGGGCAGCACATGCAGTTGAAGCGTTCATTGAACGTACCATCAACTCTGTCCGCTACCTGTGATCAATCATTTGTGATTAGTAATTATAAAACCAAACACAAGCCCTGTTTGGAACTATTTCGTTGAGATCTTTATATAATAGTATTTACACTTCCGCTTCCATTTCTGCTAAGATATACTTTTGCCATCTATTTCCGTTTTTGTTTCCGTTACGATACTTCCGTCGCATCACTAATAAATATCTTCTACAAGATAAGGTTACATATTTTCAACAATAAATTAAATAAAATTTTAAAAAGTAGAATAAGCGGTGTCAATATACAAGGTATTCTTTACTGAATAAAGTATACAATTCTTTGAATGCAAAATAACCAAAGATTGCAAAGTGTAACTTAGCTTCTCAACAATAAGGAATGTTTCTTTGATAGGCAAATTCATATGGTGAAACTTTTTCTATCGAGTTTGATGACTGTTGATCAATATATGCTATAGGAAATACGCTTTATCCACGAGGATAAAGCTTGTCCTCCCCACTCCCTCTTCCTTCTCCCAATTGTATGTTGCATCGATATTTAAAACTGGAATTATATTTTAAATTTAAGTACTTACCTTTTAATAGTTTGTCGTTGTTTTCACCGTCCGTCTTTTTTGAAGACGGAGTAAAATGACAGTTCATCCACCATCATCCATCACCCAAAAGTATTGCCCGCTTGCGAGCAGCTAGTGATTGCAGTCGATAAATATTCTATCGACTACCGATTGAATATTGGTCACGTTTATGGAAGAGATAGCTGAACTCATTTCATTTAAATCATCCTCGGACCATTACTCATGCAAATACTGAGCACAAATTCATTTGTATTGTCAATTTTTGCAAGTTTATACATACATACACTGTGTTTGGAAATATGTTTATGAAAAATACAAAGAGGAGGCATATTTTAAAGTTTCTCATTTTAATTCAGTATAGGCAATTAAATCTAGCTGTTCTTGTTAAAATGCATATGAATAAAAATTTATCTCGATACTCACAGGCTAACTGTACAAATAAGAATAAAGAACGCAATAGCGCAATTAGTAATCTCTATTGATTTCGTAACATTCACAATTTAATCATTTTTGGTAAAATTTTTATCGACAACAACTACATAATTATTTAAAATTTTGCGAAAACTGGTAACCCTACAAGTGTCATTTTACTCCGTCTTCAAAAAAGACAGACTATAGATGACCTTGTTTTATTCAGAACCTAGAAGCATCGCTCAAATGTTCAACCCCTGAGCACCAGAAGTACTTCTCCGTGAGTTGCCTCCGGCTGCTGCCCGTGGACCGCTGTGACGTCACCAAGTTGGACAAGGAGTACTTCATCCATATTCATGGATCTGTGATATTGCAGACTATTCTGGATTTCGAGGTAGATAGATAGATAACAATTTTATTCTTACTATTTATTATTATTAGCACCAGTAAAGCGCCTCGTGAATGAGTTCGTCCATGGAAGTACCTTAGCGGTAATGTGACCATTACGTAATAATCGTTGTGGGTTGGGTAAGGGTGCTGGTTAGGAAGTTACAGGCACATGGGCCTTGTTAACATGTCTAGTGACGGGACGAACAAGTCGAGCGCCTGATGGTAAGCTGCCCATAACAGTTGCAGCGCCCCTCAGAGCTTTAAATCACAAAGATCTAAGTCCCTGTAATTTTACCAGCACCCTTACCCTTTCAAACCGGAACACAGTAGTAGTAGTTGCTTGGCGGCAGAATTAGGTAAGGTGGCAGTACTATCTTGGACGAACTCTTTGACAAGGAGTGTACTGCTACTCAGGGTGAATGGCGCAGTGGCAGTGATCCTCAGGTCCTTGCAGTTTAAAGCCCAGAACGGCACTGCGACTGTTATGAACGACTGGTGCACCCCGTCACTTGGTGCCATGAAAAAAGTCGTAAAAATGTGTATGTGAAATCTTACATTTAGGAATAAAAAAGTTATCGATATCTTTAAATTTGTGATGCAACAGACCTCTGCTTCTGCTTCCGCAAGTGTGTAATTATGAAACCAAACACAAGCCCTGTTTGAAACTATTTTGTCGACATCTTTATAGTATTTCTTTCTTTTCTTTGACGCTTCCGCTTCCGTTTCCGTTTGTCCTAAGATTAACTTTTGACATCTGTTTCCGCTTCTGTTTCCGTTACGACACGTTCGTTGCATCGCTACTTTAAACCTCTCTCCTGAAAAGTTGTTATTTTGCAGATTTGATACATATATGTATGTATATATGTATATGTATCAAAAATTAAAATTAAATTTTAAATTTCATGATCTTTCTTTTGTTCAAGATGCTATGTTATTTAGAAGAAAACAATCCTTATGATTGAGGCTTTCTATCAGTATAGTAAAATTACAGGTGTTTTTTTTTCACATTTGGCGAAAAATAGATGAAAAACTTTTGAATGCAGTTCGAATTGTTTTTAAAATCAAAATGAAGTCTTCTTTCATTAAAATGTTCTGTCTACGATAATTAAGGTACTGTGTATACTTGGCACAGTGTATTTAATTTTTAGTTCAATTTATAATTAAGTATCTAAATAAATTACAGCGTCCAACAAAGGCAGTGCAAAGTCTCCTAGAGCTGTCTCCCGAGGAGTTAATGGTAATCATCAGCGACGCAAAAGGGAGCCACGTATTCGACGCCTTCTGCAAAGGACGATGCGTCGGCGTCAAGGCCAGGGACAAGCTCATCTGGAAACTCAAGGTTACCGAACTATTAACTATTATTAACAACAAAACGAAATAGGTTCTCATTACAATACAGCGCAACATAAATATACGCCATACTACATTTTAATAGAAATTTTAGCGGAATTGCTTGCTTCAATAGGGGCAGAGTTTTCTAGTTCTTCTTTATTAATGTCTTACAAGAGCAGTATTTCATATACATTCAATTCATGTAATAATTCCTATTGGTAATTTTTGTACTTGTTTTTAGTTCATATTTAAGTTACATTTCATAATTTTAGTCTTTACCACACTAGTACTTACGTGCCATCTTATCTTGTAAAAGCGGTTCCGACTGAAAACCAGCGTTACAGCAGGCGAGCTGTAACATATGCTGAGTTGGAGCCGTTTCAACTTATAGATTTATGTAACAATTAATTTGTTTTTTAC